GCTCTGATTTGTATTCATTAGCCACTCATTTGAGCAACATGGAGGGTTTACGCATGGGGGAAAAAATATATATTAGCGCAAGTTTGTACAGCATTACCACGCACTGAAATCGGATAACGTGGATCGTAAGATGGTTTTCTGCTTCTTTCTGTTGAGTTCCGGAGTCGAATCCAGTTTATTGTCATCAGCGGACAGCACTACAAACTTCCCTACTCCTGTTCTTTGATGAGACATGGTATCTAATACTGGTACAATTATGAGGGGAATAAAGTGTGGCTACCAGGAAGTCCTCTTTTCTTGGCGCGTTTGGCTGCTTCCATCGCCTCCTCTTCACGTCTGTTTCCCGGTTTAGGTGCCTCTTGATCACTCGTTTCAGTGGCCTTTTCTCTTAATGCTTGCCTCTCGCGAGTAAGCATTTCGTCCACTTCTTTGAAAGGGTTTACGAAAACTTGCGTCGAAAGTAGTTTTACTTCCTCCTAAATCGCAGGGGTCAACACAATGGAGCATTTACAAGAGGTCGGTCATCCTTGTCTGTCTCAACAAGTTCGACTTTGTCCAGGGTATCCAGACCACCGACAACTCTGGCAATGTTGAAGTCAATCAGATGCAATCAAACCTACTTTCCAAAAACAGTGTGCTTCCTATTCAACTGAGGACATGGTCTAAATGTTATAAAACTATACGACTCAGATAAAGGTTCGGTCTTACAATTGGGATTTATTCGTGTTAGGGCCCGAGTTAGCCATCGATAGAACACCTCTGCTATCATGTTTTAAGGCCTCACGAAACTCGTCGGGGAACGAACCACCCCAGGCAGAGTCGCCGCCAAGCCCAGTGCCTGAGGGATCTCCACCTTGGATCTGACAATTGAGATCGAAAAGTAGAATAACTCACAATGAAGTGCCTAATTACGCGATGAAAAATCGTGTCATTGTACACTCCGGACTCGCACAGCTTAATAAAGTTTTCGCAGGTCTTCGGGACCAGATTGCAATGCAATTCAATATTCAAATTCCCATATGAGGTGATTAAGCGCACAAACCCCTTCGATTTGACATATCTGTATCGGACAATATCATCCTCCAGAATAGCTAACAAAATTAATGTGCAGTAACTTGCGCACCTGGCTCGACGATCACAGAGGGTTCCATCACAGTAGAAGTCAAAGAAGCAGCAGCTTTTCCGGTGGAGTAGTGTGCCGTATTGTAGATATCGCGGACCTTTTCTGTCTGCAACTCTTTTGGCTTACTCGAGTACATATAGTCAGGTACATCAATCTCAGCGTTTTTCAACTCGGCCAGAATTTCTTCCGTCTCTGGGTTGAGAGCTCGAATGTTGGAAACACCACTGCCACCTTAAAGGCATTCAAGAAGAATAAAATTGCAAACCTTTTTCTAAAAGACTGTTTTTCACATGATAAAATGCGGATATGTTGAATTTGTCTAAACTGCCCGGGTCTTGTATAGTTATAATATCCTGCCTCGTGAACGGCTCTGATGTTAAGAGATCCTGATAACTGTTTGTCTTTATGTTGAGACGTTCAACAGCCTAAAAATGTAAAAAAACGAAACTTTTACCTCATATGCGTATACGTTGCCAGTTGTCCTAATGGCGACAATGTGAGTATTCTGATTAAAAACTTTGAAGGTGATTGGACAGTGGTATTTCCCATCAGCGTTTTTGCTAAAGTTCAGCTTGATAAGCTCGCTTGCTTTCATTTTCTAAGAGCAATGATCGTTAATTATCATGGCACCTTGCCAGTAACAGGATTTATCCCATACTTTTTAACAAAAGGTAGTATGTTTCTAAAATCAGGAACAAAGAGTCATTCTTACTCCAAGTCAAATACAACACCATCTTTGGTGCAATACGGAACCGTAAATGGTTGAAAAGAAATGCTAAAAAAATATGAGAATGTTGCAACTTTATGGCTCCCAACCTGCAACAATTAAACGGAAGTCGTCGAAAGCGGACATTACCACCGCCCGCAGCTTTCCTCCCACCATAAAGTGTGCTCCACTCAGTATTTGTAATGTATCTGGAAAAAATGCAAAGTAAACCGTCTTACAGTTTGTCTGACTGATGTTGCTTTTTGCCCATCTTTTTCGCACACAGTATCAAATTTAGCCAACCTATTAGATTGTTTAAACAACTACTTCGTTTAATTTTTGATCTGTTCTACATCGCAAAATATGGTTTGCAGTAGTTTAAACTTGGCCAATTAGAATATATGACATTAAGCTTATGTTATTATTTATTTGCAAGGACCTTTCTAATAAAATATCTCATTAATCTTAATCGGGCATTTGCTTGCAAATCCATGTAACGTCCCGAAACCTCCTACCAAGTAGAATGAGACTCAAAGTGGAACTGACCTCATGCGTTCTAGGAGAACATTAGTACTAGGCCTTACTTTGACTCCAATGTTAGCCCACGATTTCAGGGGTTGATTGAGTCTTAAAATAGCCACCAGACACCAGATGGTTACATAAACAAGTTATTATATTGCTTCTTTCTCCTTTTGAACAGCACCCGGCGTTCCTCTTGGCTTATCTTTCGCGCCGGCCATTACAAAATATTCGGTATTCAAGGAAGCCCCCACAAATCAGCCGCCAGTCAACTCCTGTCATGAAACTGAGAGACGGTACGTAGTCTCCTTGGAAGTTTAACTGATCCTGGTGTAATATTCGGTCTGGCGGCCGGAAGTAAATGGCGGAACGCTGGTATAAGGAGTTCCTTAATGCC